CGCCTGCGGGAGCGTGAGGAGGGGGCGGCCCCTGGGCCGGAGCTGACTGCGGGCTCCCGGGCAGGGGGCGCCCAGGCGGATGTGCCGGCCAGACCCCTGCAGACGGGGCTCCCTGTCGGCGCGTGCCGTGGTGTGGGCAGTCTTCTGGCGCCGCTAACGGGAGACGCGGCGGTCGGGACACCCAGAGGCCTCAGCAGGGGCAGGGCGGGAGGCCGTTGCCCAGACTCGGGGCGTCTCGGGCGCTTCCCTGCGGCCTGGGGCCCGCGTGCCGGGCGCTGGGCGGTCTCCGTGGGCATCTCCGTCAGATGTCCACTCCCGCAGCTGCCGCGTCGCCGAGCACAGCAAGAGTGCCCAGGGCTGCGTGCGGCCTGCGGGCGCCCGCGGGCTCCTGCGGCCCTGGGCCTGTCGTGCCCTGCAGAAGCCCCGGCTGGGCACCGCTTCCCTCCGTGCCCTGCAGGCCAAGGGCGGCGGCTACGAGAGTGAGGACGCCTATCAGAACGCGGAGCTGGTGTTCCTGGACATCCACAACATCCACGTCATGCGGGAGTCGCTGCGGAAGCTCAAGGAGCTCGTGTACCCCAACATCGAGGAGGCCCACTGGCTGTCCAGCTTGGAGTCCACCCACTGGCTGGAGCACATCAAGGTGGGGGTGCTGCTCGCGGGCGCCTCCTGGGTGTCCCACCCTCCGTGAAGCCCCCGCCCCCCCCAGCTGGCTGCGTGGCTCAGCTCGTCGTCGGCCTGGGGAGCGAGGGCAGCACCATGGGAGTCACTGCGGGGCCCAGGAGCCGCGTGCGGGCTGCTGAGGAAGGACCGGCTAGCCACGGCGCCGTCGGGCTGAGGCAGGAGCGCCGGGTCGTCGGGCGGGCCCAGGCCAGGGAACGTTGACTTCCGGGCGCCTGTCCCTTGTGGTCTCCGAACCCACCCCGGGCGGCCTGAGCCAGGGAGACGTCGGCCGCTGCCCTTGCGGCTCTGTCCTGGACGCGCAGGGGCTCGGGGAGCCCCAGTGGCCCGCGTGGCGCGAGAACGGAGCTCACCCCGGAGTCGGCCCCGGGACTGGCTTCTCGGAAGCAGGTCCACCCCGCAGGGACTCGGCTCCCGGGGCGC